TATGGTTAGAGCGGACTGAGGCAAGCCTTTCAAGTTTAATATTAAACTGCCGGGACTCTGTGAGTAGGGCATATATTTGGTGGATGTTAGGGCACTAGTTAGATGGGCATATGTTTGGTGGATGTTAGGGCACTAGTTAGATGGGCATATGTTTGGTGGATGTTAGGGCACTAGTTAGATGGGCGTATGTTTGGTGGATGTTAGGGCACTAGTTAGATGGGCATAAGTTTTGTGGATGTTAGGGCACTAGTTAGATGGGCATAAGTTTGGTGGATGTTAGGGCACTAGTTAGATGGGCATAAGTTTGGTGGATGTTAGGGCACTAGTTAGATGGGCATAAGTTTGGTGGATGTTAGGGCACTAGTTAGATGGGAATATGTTTTGTGGAAGGCCAAGTACCAGCTAGAATGACATATACTTGGTGGAATACGTTAATATTAACTAATGAAGTCAGCTTTAAAGTTTTGCCTTAACAATAGTGAGTGTAGTCAAGAGAGAATGTTCAACTCAAGGCGAAACTAGACATCAAATTTTTGTACGGAACTTTGATCTCATGTTAAAAAATAATAAGCCAGAAACATTTAGAAATTATATTAAGATCTTCAAATAATTCGAGAAGAAAATAAAAAATTATTTAAAAAAAATTAAAACACTATACTTAAATAATAAACAAGATTAAACTACTATTACAAATAACAGCTCGATATTTTTTAATCAAAACACAGCACGAGTTTATTATCTGAATTAATTAAGATTATCCTTCTCGCTGGTAGATTCAAACAACATTTTTTTTCAATACTCCGCCTTCAACTGTTCAATACAGTCCAACCAACCCATGCCAATTTCTAAGGGAAAAGTTGTGCCGCACGCACGCAGAAATGCCATTCATTAACGCTGTATTGTTCTGTAGCGCAACAGCGAGCATTGTAAAGTGCTTCATTATAATCAGCTTGAATTCAAATTGTATGGCCCACTGCTTCATTTCAGATTAAAATATTTTTAGAGTTTTTTTTTTTCCTTTTTAATTTAAGATTAATTTTATAATGACCCCTGCCCCCGAAATAGATAATTATATTTTTAGGTACTTCAGAAAAAAGAGTCGGTTCTTTTTCTGTGTGTGATTATTTTTACCTACCCTAGTTAAATGTCGTGATCCTTTATTGAACACAATGTAGCATTGGATTCATACATTCAACAGAAGAAAGGGCAGTGATATTAATCACACATATTATAAATATACATTTACATAAGGATGTAATTTACTATTACAAATAAGAGATATACGTGATATAAGTGGTATATAGGTAATAACAAGTATATATATATATATATATATATATATATATATATATATATATATATATATATATATATATATATATATATATATATATATATATATATATATATATACCCTTACTTGCATTTAAAGAAAGCAAGATACACGATTATAGGCGTCAAGATCTTGACAAGACAGTTATACCTGTGTATAACTGGTTAATATAAAAAAAATTCATGTGTGTCGCCTAAAGTGGGAGGGGTGGGAAAAGTGAGTAACACAAGACAGGTTAAACACGACCTTCAAAAGTGGGAGAACATGATCATAAAAAGCAGGGGCGTTTCGGCTATTGGTCTACGTCAGCCGTGAGAGAAATGAGATCTGGGTACGAAGAAAAGATAATGGAAGCTAGGGGAGTGAGATCAATGGAGCGTGAAACAGTAGACATTTAATTAGGGTGGTGACCTATCGGTTTAATGATAATCGCAGGGACAGTGTGACGCGCGGAAGACTAAAAAAAAAAAGCAATGCATTCTGTGGGAAATTATTGATTGTTTCGCATTTCAAACTACCTTGTGATGTTTTTTAAAAGGGAATTAACTTTTGAAAATAAAAGCTAGGATTTGGTGATAGGGGAGGCAAAAATATAAAGGGAGGTAAAATGTCAGATTATTGCAAAAAAAAAATAGAATAAAATAAAAACGTATGCTTAAAGTTAAAGTTTCTTCTCAATTCACGACATAGCCTCGACCTCCAACCCCCATTTCTCTTCTCGTAGACACGAGAGATTAGCGCGATTCTCGTGTGTCGCTATTAATAATGCAATTACGACTTTAGCCTGACGTCATTCAAGTTTGTGGAAAAAATAAACGCCACGTTTGAGGTATGTTGTAAAAAATTGTAATTTTTAAAAATTAACATGGAGAAGAATCTATGCACGCTCCGATTTCATACCGGGGCATCTTTCATTGACATCCGTACTTGACATGTGTGTCATTTTTTTTTCTCTAGCAATCTTTGGTTATAATTCATTCATTTTTTTTACAATTTTGAATTAATTGCGATATGCATTCGTTTGCTTTTTTTTTAAATTAAAAAAAATCTGATCTTGGAGTTGACCAATCAGAAGGGAGATAAGCATGGAAAGAAAATGGCGGAGAATTGTTGAAGGCCAGTGTTCTTTTTTTTTTTGTTCTTGATATTCCACGTTTTTTACACAATTATTTCCTTTGTTTTTATACGTTTGAATATATTATATCAAGTTATATACATTATATCAAATTATATTATTATTTATAGCAGAGTATAAAAAGATGTTTGATGTATTGACCCTCTACATTAATATTGTAAAACACTAATTACGAGATTAGAAATATTATACTGGAGCTATTTAATTACATTGTAAATTGTAGGACCGAGAGAATATGTTTTTAACACATACACGTTATTTTACAGTAATTTATGTAGAGGTCCATGGAAAAATATTCACATAGGTCTGACTATTCCAAGGTACTTTACTAGTCTATACTGTGTTGTATTGAATAAACTGGTATGCTTTTAATATAATTTACGTGTCTTAACAATACTAAAACGTACGTTTTGTTCTGCCGGGGAGAAAACAAACACGGAACAGTTAATGAAAATACCTCAGGACTGAGTTGCCCAAATAGCCTTGCCCTAGTCCTAGTGCACGACTTAGTAAGACGACAGGTCAACTGCAAATATTACCATTATATTCCTTGGTTATTTTGGATTTACCAATGCGTTTAGTTAAAGAAATACAATATTAGTTTAACATTTTTGTTTTTGGTAAGTTTTTAAAATTCCCCAGTTTTTCATTAAATCTAGGTCTATTGTTTTTTAACTTTTAGTTTTGAAGCGTCTGTGTTATCTGCCAAGTTTTTATGCTGGACTGTGTTGACCAATACTTAGAAATGTTGCTGACCATCCCTTGCTTCTGTCCAATGAGAAGATGACCCCTGCGACCAAAATATTTCTGACCCCATTGATACCCCAAAAGATATCCTTAAAAAATCCTAAATTACGTTCTGAGGATACAACAGATACATGATCCCACAGGACATGAAGCTGCTACGTATAATTCAGTAGGCCCTGAAGTTATCTGGGTTTCGCTAGATTAAAATTATCAAACTTGCTTTATGTAGACAGGCAAGCTTGTGTGTCGATCAGTAAATACAAACCATTATCAGAAAAAATCCAGATATATCAAGGTAGTTTCTACATCCTTTGGTACAATTTAGACAAAAATAGACTAACTTCCAGCCACGATCTTGCATCATTAAGTAGTACATCATCACCAACATGACAGACGCAACAAAAATCACATTAAATAATTTTAAATAATGAACTCAGTTTTGTATTTTAAAAATTTTATTTCATAAAAATTTTATTGTATTCACTTGTGCCAGTTTCAACCTGGCTACTCCCTCATTTCAAATCACGTGCAGACTCTACACAGAACACAGTCAAGTACACAGTCAAGTACACAGTCAAGTACACAATCACGTACACAATCAAGTACATTATCACCTACACAAGTACATCCATTCTTTTATTATCTCAGCTTTAGTTTGCCATCGTGTTAGACCATGACGGAAGAAAAACATGAATGTACATAATGAATATGTGTTTATTTTAAAGCATGAAACAGTTCTTCATTTGACAACTCACCCATAATTTATCACAATTTTCTTACACACCCAGGCAGTCATACGGTCATCTCAAAACGTGCATAAACCCGCTAACACCCCACCCCTTTTATTTTACAAAATTAGCAAACTAATTGTTAAAAAAACATTCAGCTGTTTAAAAAAACATTCAGCTGTATTGAATGTGGTTAGATCTATATCTTTTCGAAAAGAAAATTGCAAATAATGATATTGCAGTATATAGGGTCGTTTTTGCATTCTGATAGACATAACCTTCAGTTTCAAATCACTTTCTAAATGTGACTATTCAACTCAACGCTCTAAAAGTGACCACACAACTCAACGCCCTAAATGTGACCATATACGACATCTTCTAAATGTGACCTTACATAAAACCCTTAATGCTACCCGTAATATCCTGGAAATCAGTACCGATGTTTTCTAAACTTAACGAACCATTCGTTCCTCCACTCAGTTCTAAATTGCTTTTAAAGTTTCGACAAAGATTTTTTTTTTACGCAAAATTGATTAGGGAAATTTTTTTTTTACTGTTATAAAGTGGAAGAAAAACTATCTATTACTGGAAACATTTTGCTTCTGTTAAACTGACTTGATCGACTGTATAATAAAACAATAATAACTATGAAATGATACCAGACACTAAACCAGGGACTAAAGACTAACAGGGGAGGGAAATGGGAAGGGAATGGTCTACTATAAAACACTTTTTAAAAAAGTAAACTTTAACCTTGGCAGTAGCTTGGCATGATGTTATTTTGTGATGGTTATCCAATTAATATAAACCTACAACGTATTTTATTCGCTTATCTTTGCCGTTCGTCAAGACATTGGGAACAGAAAGTCTTTAATTTAGTTGAATGACATTCATCAGCTTTGTGTATGCGTTATAAGACTAGGAAAATCTATTTCCGGGTATGGTTGTATTGCTTACTTTTACCATTAACCTACATAGCTCTTCTTACCCCCCCCCCCCCCACTTCCCACAACCCACCACCATTTTCATAACAACAACTAAAATACTATTTTAATTTTTCTTTTTACAGAGTAATTTAAAAAAAGCACAACATCATTATTCACGCTTTGAGCCCTTGCAACTTAGTTGCGTTCTATTCCATACACCCCCAAACCTTTACCTCTTTGTCTCTCTACCTCTCTCTCTTTCACTCGCTTTCTCTCTCTCTACCTCTCTGTCTCTCTCTCTCTCGTGACACAGAAAACGTCACACAAAAAACCCAATGTGACGTCATATCTCGTGTCACGTTTCCATAAATATTTACATATGCATTTAATTGATCAGCATCATCGAATATCTTCAAAAAATGTTAATTACACACGTTTTATGCATGAACTTATGAGTATTATAGTTTACATTATGTTTGGTTTGTATGCACAGTATTATACATTATGATTATAAACAATATCATTTTTTAATTAGAGTACGACATTTAATTTAATGTACAAATAGAAATAATTATAATTATAATAAAGATATTAGTACGATTTTATTTTAAAAAAATAATGTAAAATAATACTCGCTTCTTGTTAAGTCTGACTAGACGAGAAAATCAATGCTAAAACTAAACGAGTGGTATCATGTGATCGCTTCACTACTCACGTTTTAACTGCACAGGCGCACAGGCCCGCACACATACACACATACAAAATGTAATTACATTTTACTTTCCTTGTATTGGAGAACCGTGTTTCGACTGTTTAACAGCAGTAACAATGCATGGGAAGAATCAAAGTAGGTTAGACATTTGTTAGGATTAAGCTAGAAAGTTACATTCATGTCATAGTTCTAGGGTATCTATGACCAGCTTCGACGCTCTTAAATATTACCTTTAACCAATGTATGTATGTAAACTAACTTTCTAAGCTTGTATGTCTTCGCGATAAAGCCATTTTTTCTGAACTCTCCAAACTAGCCCATCCTCATATAAAACCAATTGCCTGCACTTTCTAAACTAGCACATCTTCATATAAAACCAGTTGTTTGCACTTCTAAGCTAACCCATCTTGAGATAAAGCTAATAATCTGAAGCGCTATTCACAAACTAATAAGGTTTTAAACAAATAGATAATGCAATGCAGTCAAGCCTTAACCGTTAGTAAAAAATACAATCAAAACTTATGCACCAGGTTTCGCTATAGATTGTACACATATTAAAAATGTTGGCATGTTTTAGAGGCCAATAAAATAAAACAGCGTTGTGAAACTCATCAAGATTGATTTTTTAAAATACTTCCAGCTCCTTCTGTTTTATAGCTGCATTATCCGACACAATAATACACTCCAGTACATCCAATAACAATGTCACTTTCCTGTTACGGAGTATTCGCTTGTGAAGAATGAAGACTCCAATGCACAGAAACACAGAAACAACACCACACATTTCACGACAGCAACAAAGGATGTCAATCTTTGGGTTGATATTTCTAAATCTCGACATCTAGGAGTCAATACCCAGAGGCTAGACTATCTAGTCGAAATATAGATGAAGTCAAGTTCTTGAAAGCAAAACGACACATGAACGAAGTCGACATTTTGAAGACGTCGACATGTAGAATTTAAGTAGTAAAGCCGCAGGTAAGATCCTCCAGTATAATGTAGGATATTTGTTTTCTTCAGTTCATGTAGTATACCAGCATCAAACAGAAACGAATAACGCAAATATTTCTCAACAGAGGCATGTTTTCAATGATAAAAAAAAACAACACAAAATAAGGTTTTGTCATTGAAATTATTGATGAGAAGATATTGTCATACACCCAGGGCTGCATATTGACTAGATGTCAGTATTTTGACTAGATGTCAGTATATTGACTAGATGTCAGTATTTTTAGGGTGTTTGTGTGTTCTTGAAAGCCTGTATTTTTTATGCCTTTATTTTGTTGACTTCACATGACCAGGCTTCAAATGGTTTGTAATCAATACTGATGGGCGATTGGGAATTCAAATCTCCGAGGTTAGCCACTTCCCCCACGGTCAAGGTCGCTGTGTTGTGTTGACCTGGGGTCGCTCTGTACTTTCCTGTGTCCAACTCACGCACGTCAATCTCCGCAGGACAACGCCGTTGTCATGGAGACCTCTAGAAACAAACGATTTCTCCCGTGCCCCGTGTAAGTAAAGAGTCACGTGATCTCCCCTAAAGTCCAGATTTACTTGGCTGGGGAGACTATGGAGCCGCCATAGGCCGACTGGGTGCCACAAGTTGGAAGGCCGAAAGGATTTACACTGGAGAATGGGGAGCCGACTATTCCACCCATACCTGAAAATAAACAAAAAAATAAATCTCATCAAACAACGATAAACCCGGTTATATAAATCTAATTTAAAATTCCTTGATCTTAAGACCATGGCTGTTTAGATAATTTGATAAAGCTGTAAATTAAATAATCCAAGTTAACCCGGGTGTGAGGTTAAGATGAATTCATAACCAAACTTAACTTGGACGCTGATAAATCAACATCCCCCTAATCAAAAGATCAACACGCAAAAATAATTTAATCATATGCGACAGTTCCAGAAAAATTGTGTTCCACTTTATAAAGCAGTGTTGATTTTATAATCCAGCCTGTGCATGCATTAACGATGTGTTAAAAAATCGATATCAGGTTTATTTTCCACTCTCGAAAAATCTTTTTTTCGTTTTTTTTTGTCCCACTCTTCACAGTCTGAAGTTTACTATCACAACAATGCTGAGATGCATCCTGTGTGATGACGGCAGCAAGGATCGACCCCAGTCCATACACTAACAAGTCCAATTAGTTTTAATTTTTAAAGCTACAGTTTTTTGTTATTTGGTTAGAAGTGATGTTTTTAAGTTATAAGTCGTGGGGAGATAGAGTGAGAGGTGTTGTGGTTTGTGTGGTGATGTGTGCTGGTGTTTGGATGTGGTGATGCGTAGAGTAGTTAGGTGCAGTTATGCTCCAGGTAAGGGGTATTTGGTGGTGGTTGTGGTTGTGGTGATGTATGCAGTGTGTTGATAAATAGAGCAGTTAGGTGGTAAATGGTTGTTGATGGTGTTGGCGTGTGGTTGTGCTGGTGTGTGGTTGTGGTTATGTGTGGGTGTGTTGATAAGTAGAGTAGGTAAGTTTAGTCATGATTGTGGTAAAAGATTGTTGATTATGTTGGCGTGTGGTTGTGTTGGTGTGTGGTTGTGGTTATGTGTGGGTGTTGATAAGTGGAGCGGTGAAGTTGTGGAAGGAGCTTGTTTTGGTGGTTTTAATATGTTTTTGTTTTAGTTGTGTGAGCTGGTGTTTAAGATTGTGTGTGTTTAGTTTGTGTGTGTGTGTGAGGATTGTGAAGGAAGTGTGGTTGAGGATGTGTATTGCTGTCAGAGTCAGGTGCGGATGGTAGGTTGGATGGTTGTTTGGTGCGGATGGTAGGTTGGATTGTTGTTTGGTGTGGATGGTAGGTTGGATGGTTGTTTGGTGTGGATGGTAGGTTGGATGGCTGTTTGGTGCGGATGGTAGGTTTGGATGGTTGGTTATGAGTTTAGTGTGGATGGTAGGTTTGGATGGTTGGTTATGAGTTTAGTGTGGATGGTAGGTTTGGATGGTTGGTTATGAGTTTAGTGTGGATGGTAGGTTTGGATGGTTGGTTATGAGTTTAGTGTGGATGGTAGGTTTGGATGGTTGGTTATGAGTTTAGTGTGGATGGTAGGTTTGGATGGTGGTATGTCTGGTGGGGGTGTTTTGAATGGACTATGTAAAACAAGTTTTCAGATTGACGTGGATTATCTGGATGATGGATATGGGGTGGTATTGGTGTAATCATTTTGGATCGCTAATACGAGAAGGTTGAGTGTCGTGTATTGATCGTGTCTGTTAAATATTTAACACCAAGGCTAATACCCTTATGTCAATGCTAGTTTGGTTTGGTTTTTCTGACATCAGTTAATGCGGCTTTGGCGATGTTCTAATGCGGTGAATTATCTAAGTCTCGAGTTCAATGTTTGCAATTCTAATACATATTTTTTAGATGTTACTTCTTGTAGCATGTTGAAATAATTTCACCAGTAGTGTCTACAAATCAAAGTTGTTGATTTCGACTATTAAAAGTAAAAAAAAAAGAAAGGTTTACAACACACATGTTACCCATGCAAAATTATAATGGAAATAGGCAAACAGATTCTTGCAGTGTTTTTTTTTTTAACTTTTCTATTTTATCAATGGTCTTTCAATTATTTGTTGCTACATATTTATCAGTTATATTAGTTAATTTGTTTTTGACATGTAAAATAATTAAATCTAATCACAGTAACAGAAATAGAAGGAATGGTTCATAGAGTAGCGTTGACGCATGCAAAAAGTTGATAGACAACAACAAAAAACGGTGTCCATGCAAATAGTTGATAAAATGAAAACATACACTGAGTTCCCATCTAACACGAGTTAAACGGGGCCGACGTCATCCAGCCTCCATGGTGGCCCTGGTAGCCCGCCATCAGGGGAGGGGGGCTGAACCCGGGCCTGTAGTACACAGGGGCGAAGGCGCTCTTCTGCTTACCGCTGTGGGGGAAGGAGAAGATACCCTGCCCGTGTGCCGTGGACACTGCAGCAGGGACGGAGGTTAGACCCGAGGGGTGGATAGAGTTGGGGGGCACCGAAGGGGAGGTGTGGGGCGGAACTGCAAAAATTGTAAAATGAAAATAATAGAAGAGTACAAAAATAGAAAGCGAAAAGCAAATAATAAAGAAAACCATGAGCTATAAAAGTACAATTAAATAACGAATCTAAACGTTGTTTAAAAACCATTGAACCAGCCAAAGTCATAACATGCTATTTTTTTAAAACAGTTATTTAAATAATTTATCGTTAAATTATTTGTGTAGTTAACCAAGATTTATATTTAATGAATTCTCAAATTAATTGTTTTAGCATTTAATGTAAATAAATTTGAGCCTAATTGATTTGAAAATAATTCATTTTAAAAAATTGATTTTAATTCTAAAAATATCAATTTAAACCGATTTTATTCTCATATTTTTATTGTATTTGTAATTTGTTTTGTCACACAGATAAAACTATAAATCTTTATTTTCTAACGATCGACTTTGATTGGTTTATTTGCCTATATCTTTTATAGCGTGAATAAGCGGACTGTCAAAGTGCACATATAGAAAGAAATGACAATAAAAATTGCAAGGGGTAGCTACAAAACAAGTGAATGATCACGTGACTTACCAGCACCAATCCGGCTAGCCTCGTCTCGCAGGAAGTGGTCTAAACCTGGAAAATTAAATACAAAACTTTTAGTAAATCTCTTTAAACTTAGAAGTGTCTTATTTAACCCTAGATCCTTGGAATTGGAGTTTGATACAGCCATGATTTTATGTAGCTGTTACTGTTATATCAGTGACTTAGTTTACTTTAGGTGGCCGAACCTGTGTAGTTTATCAGATATGATAAAATGTATGAAACCATCCTGACTTACCCATATTTCCAAGTGGACCCGGCCCACTATGGTAACCGTTCATAGTTGGCGCTGCTCCGTAGCCCCCATTGACGCTGTGGGGGGTGGAACCATTGGACCCGTACCCTCTTGGTGAAACACTTGAGCTTTGAGATCTGTTGTAGCCCGCTGTTTAAAGAAACAAATTGTGAATCTCTCAGTAGAAAACATTGCGAGTTATACCCGTATTCTTTAATAGACTCTAGTTTATTAAGGGGTGTTAGGTTATTGGTAATCAACTTAATACCAACATAACTGGCTAATTTCAACATTACCCATCAACCTAACCCAAACACTAACCCAAGTCCTACCGTGTCTTTAACCCTAATTTTTGAACCTACATCTAAACATAATATCACATTACTACTATCAACCTAACCCACCTATTTTCAGAGGAGTCTATTTTGATACACCGGTAACACGAATACTCCTTGTAATGGGGCTGGTAAGTAGGTCACCAACCAGTTCTATGGCTCATGCAGGTTTTATTGAGCCGTAGAAATGGTTGGTAATCTACTTACCAGCCCTATTCTACTGTTTAACTGACATGAAGGTAACTTAAACACAGCGAAAGACGCGTCAACTGAGACAGGTACATGTCAACACTTACCTTCATCCCACTGACCGTTGACCCCAGTGTCACCAACACTGACAGCCAGCTGACTGGGGTAGGCGTTAAACCCTGACATGGCCGGGTTGTTCATGGCCGGGGACCGGGGGGTGGGGAGGGAAAGCTGGTTGGGGTTTCTAGGCATGCTGTACAAGGCCTCGGCTAAGTCTGCTGCCCTCTTGAGGATGATTTCCTGGTGGAGGTACACGAGGATTAGGAACGGGGGTCACGTGATGTGATATATATATATATATATATATATATATATATATATATATATATATATATATATATATATATATATATATATATATATATATATATATATATATATATATATATATATATATATATATATATATATATATATATATATATATATATATATATATATATATATATATATATATATATATATATATATATATATATATATATATATATATATATTGTCATGTATATATACTTATATATATATAAATATATATATAGGCCTATACATATATTTAAGTATATATATATATATATATAAGACAGTGTAAATATTATTCCTAAAATAATTTGACAAAAGCTAATGATCAAATATAATCTCTGACTAAAGACTAGCTACACACATACGTAAGAGAGAAAAGAGGAGAGCGAAGCCGGAAGAATAAAAGCCGGTCACGGCATGACGACCTGACTTACTTTGGGTAATCTCTCCGGGTCCCCTGGGTGTCTGGGGACGAGCTTCATCAGTCTCTGGAACCCGTAGTCAATGGTAGGTTCTGTTAATGCTGGGGAGGGGGAGATAAAAATAGACATTATATATGACGTACTGTGCGCTCCATTAACGCTGGCGGGGGAGGGGGGAGATACAGATACGCATAACAATGGACATTCTATGATACATCGACAATGGACAATATTCTTTGGTAGGTATTGCATAAATCTCAAAGTAATCATTGTTGACGAAAATACTTCTTTTCAGCTAATTTAACCGTTAAATGTATTTGTAACTTAATAACACATGCTAATTCGTCATTAGTTTGTGTTACGAAAACCAACTGGTCTATTAAAATAATCTGGATTAAATTTACGTAGTTAGATGATTTGAAAAAAAATGGATAGAAAAAACAAACACACACGCTAGATTTGATACCTGAAATGTTCTTGAAAGAACAGTATAGAGTAAAGTAAAACACAAAATTAATTTGTGTGATTGTATTATGTTGACTGACTCGAAAATTAATGCGCCAAGTCGTATGCCCTAACGCTAGTCTTAACTCTGATAATAAAGCCTTAACATAACTAATGTACCATGTTTAAGTTTTGAGTTTCAAAATCCCGCAGATGAATCGAAAACTTCGAGGCTTCAGTGGAATGGACAGATCGTGAGATGAAAGAACAGACAGACGATATTCAAAAGCCGGATTAAAAAAAAACACACAAGGCATCCAACTCATATGATATTAATGACAACCTTTTAAAAAGCACTCATCGAATATCCAAACAAAGATCGGGTTACGATTTCATTTCATTTCCACCCGCAAAGACCTGCTTTCTGGAGCGTCGCTACAAGACAAGGGGGGGGGGATAATAAAGAACAGTTAAAGGTTTATTCTTCCCCGGTTTTCTTCTCTTTTTTTTTTCTAATGAAGAAAGACAACCCATTTTAAGGCGATGGCAAGAAATTGCGTGCCGTCCCTTTTTTCTAATTACCAAAAACTCGCTTGGATGAAACGACCCCCAAGTAACGTTGATGGGCAAATGGGTTCTCCGCGAGGTGGGGAAAGCGTTGGCGCGACTACAAATCAATCGAAAGGGTTCTCTTTTTTTAGCGCCCATCCCGCCCGCTCCCCCTCGGTCTCCTGGCTCGGAAAAAACACCGATACCCCCGCGTCTATTAACCCCTCATTGACGTAAAGCACCCAGATACTCGCAGAAAGCCGGTCCCCGGGCCGGACCGAGAGCCTCAGTTCAACCCGACTGGATTAAACGGCTCAAGTTTCCGACACTTCTCGTGTCCCGGCATCAGAGATCTCCCTCTGGCGGTTCTGGAACTCTAGCCTCGGCTTCGTCTGCTTCTTCGTTGTTGGGTGGGCTGGATCTGTAGGAGCTAAACGAGCTGTACTCGGGGGTGGGCCTAGTTCTGTCGGAGCTAAGCTAGATGTATTTTGGGTTGACCTCGGGAGCTAAACAAGATGTATTTTGGATGGACCTGGATCTGTCGGAGCTAAACTAATTGTACTCGGGGGTGGACCTGGATCTGTAGGAGCTAAACAAGATGTATTTTGGGTTGACCTCGGGAGCTAAACAAGATGTATTTTGGGTTGACCTCGGGAGCTAAACAAGATGTATTTTGGGTTGACCTCGGGAGCTAAACAAGATGTATTTTGGGTTGACCTCGGGAGCTAAACAAGATGTATTTTGGGTGACCTGGATCTGTAGGAGCTAAACGAGCTGTACTCGTGGGTGGACCTGGATCTGTAGGAGCTAAACAAGATATACTTTGGGCCTGGATCTGAGGGAGCTAAATCAGCTGTACCCTTGGTGGATCTAGATCTGTATGAGCTAAACAATCTGTACTCTAGGGTGAATTAGGATCTGTTGGAGCCAAAAAGATACTGTACTTTGGGATGAACCTGCATCTGTGTGAGCTACACTATCAGCCAATCCGGCTACGTCTTTTGAAAATAAGCCGCGCCTGTGAGCTTTGTGATTCCCTAATCTGACTCTTAGCCTGACTCGTAACCTGACCCCTTGACTCCTAAGCTGACCCCTCGACTAAACCCTCGCCTGATCCCTAATCCATCATTACAACAGCCACGGTTTTAAAACCGAACGAACCCTTCCCTAGAATGTCACCAGGCACACAATCCTATTATGAAAAACCCGAGAACCGTTGTAGCGTCAACATTGAACTGAGTTCACTTCTATTGTAACACCCATCTCATACATAATGCAGTCTAGTTACTACCGCCAAATAATAATAGAATAGAATAATCAATACGGCAGGATAAACACTCAAGAAAGGTCCAGATCTATCGCGTCATTGTGTCGGTGTATGGTCAATGGCCTGGTTATTAAAATCTCTGATGGCTAGGGGGTTCGAGATTATTTGACAAACATGGCAACATAGTGTTGGCTACTAGTACTAGTGTGTTAGAGGCTATTTTTTTTTCTGGGCACTGCAACTTGAGTCAAGTTACTGATACAGACATGCAGATCAAGAGGTGTGGAGGCGGGGGGAGATAGGAAACTGTCGTGTTAGTGCTAGTGTTGGTGTTGGTGGTACTGTTGGTGGTACTGCTAGTGGTACTGTTTGTGGTACTGTTGGTGGTACTGCTAGTGGTACTGTTTGTGGTACTGCTAGTGGTACTGTTGGTGGTACTGTTGGTGGTACTGTTGGTGGTACTGCTAGTGGTACTGTTGGTGGTACTGTTGGTGGTACTGTTGGTGGTAATTCTAGTGGTACTGCTAGTGGTACCGTTGGTGGTACTGCTGGTGGTACTGTTGGTGGTACTGCTAGTGGTACTGTTGGTGGTACTGCTAGTGGTACTGTTGGTGGTACTTCTAGTGGTACTGTTAGTGGTACTCTAGTGGTACTGTTGGTGTTACTGCTAGTGGTACTGTTTGTTGTACTGCTAGTGGTACTGTTGGTGGTACTTCTAGTGGTACTGCTGGTGCTACTGTTGGTGGTACTGCTAGTGGTGCCGTTGGTGGTACTGCTAGTGGTACTGTTGGTGGTACTGTTGGTGGTACTGTTGGTGGTACTGCTAGTGGTACTGTTGGTGGTACTGCTAGTCGTACTGTTGGTGGTACTGCTAGTGGAACTGTTGGTGGTACTGTTAGTGGTACTGCTAGTGGTACTGTTGGTGGTACTGCTAGTGGTACTGTTGGTGGTAATTCTAGTGGTACTGCTAGTGGTACCGTTGGTGGTACTGCTAGTGGTACTGTTGGTGGTACTGCTAGTGGTACTGTTGGTGGTACTGCTAGTGGTACTGTTGGTGGTACTTCTAGTGGTACTGTTGGTGGTACTCTAGTGGTACTGTTGGTGTTACTGCTAGTGGTACTGTTTGTGGTACTGCTAGTGGTACTGTTGGTGGTACTTCTAGTGGTACTGTTGGTGGTACTGTTGGTGGTACTGTTGGTGGTACTGCTAGTGGTACTGTTGGTGGTACTGCTAGTGGTACTGTTGGTGGTACTGCTAGTCGTACTGTTGGTGGTACTGCTAGTGGAACTGTTGGTGGTACTGCTAGTCGTACTGTTGGTGGTACTGCTAGTGGTACTGTTGGTGGTACTGCTAGTGGTACTGCTAGTGGTACTGTTGGTGGTACTGCTAGTGGTACTGTTGGTGGTACTGTTGGTGGTACTGTTGGTGGTACTGCTAGTGGTACTGTTGGTGGTACTGCTAGTGGTATTGTTGGTGGTACTGCTAGTGGTACTGCTAGTGGTACTGTTGGTGGTACTGTTAGTGGTAACGTTGGTGGTACTGCTAGTGGTACTGTTGGTGGTACTGCTAGTGGTACTGCTAGTGGTACTGTTAGTGGTACTGCTAGTGGTACTGTTGGTGGTACTGCTAGTGGTACTGTTGGTGGTACTGCTAGTGGTACTGCTAGTGGTACTGTTAGTGGTACTGCTAGTGGTACTGTTGGTGGTACTGTTGGTGGTACTGCTAGTGGTACTGTTGGTGGTACTGCTAGTGGTACTGTTTGTGGTACTGCTAGTGGTACTGTTGGTGGTACTGCTAGTGGTACTGTTGGTGATACTGCTAGTGGTACTGTTGGTGGTACTGCTAGTGGTACTGTTGGTGGTACTGCTAGTGGTACTGTTGGTGATACTGCTAGTGGTACTGTTGGTGGTACTGCTAGTGGTACTGTTGGTGATACTGCTAGTGGTACTGTTGGTGGTACTGCTAGTGGTACTGTTGGTGGTACTGCTAGTGGTACTGTTGGTGGTACTGCTAGTGGTACTGTTGGTGGTACTGCTAGTGGTACTGTTGGTGGTACTGCTAGTGGTACTGTTGGTGGTACTACTAGTGGTACTGCTAGTGGTACTGTTGGTGGTACTGTTAGTGGTACTGCTAGTGGTACTGTTGGTGGTACTGCTAGTGGTACCGTTGGTGGTACTGCTAGTGGTACTGCTAGTGGTACTGCTAGTGGTACTGCTAGTGGTACCGTTGGTGGTACTGCTAGTGGTACTGTTGGTGGTACTGCTAGTGGTACTGTTGGTGGTACTGCTAGTGGTACTGTTGGTGGTACTGCTAGTGGTACTGTTGGTGGTACTGCTAGTGGTACTGTTGGTGGTACTACTAGTGGTACTGCTAGTGGTACTGTTGGTGGTACTGTTAGTGGTACTGCTAGTGGTACTGTTGGTGGTACTGCTAGTGGTACCGTTGGTGGTACTGCTAGTGGTACTGCTAGTGGTACTGCTAGTGGTACTGCTAGTGGTACTGTTAGTGGTACCGTTGGTGGTACTGCTAGTGGTACTGTTGGTGGTACTGCTAGTGGTACTGTTGGTGGTACTGCAAATGGTACCGTTCAGCGAGTAACAGAATCGGTGCTGTGGATATTGGAGGCGACTAGTGACTATAATAGAATGTATTCACACTCTCCACAGCGACACGATCTTCCCTTATTGATCACTAGATTGTCTATCATCTCCTGCCGCCCCCACCCCCCCCCCCACCTCAAAGATTGTATGTCATCCCCAGCCCCCCACATCCCCACCTCAAAATTGTCTGTCATTCCAAGCCCACCTCCCCCATCCCCAAAAGATTGTCATCCCCACCCGTCTCCGAGCCCTCCCTCCATCCCCATCCGGCACCTCTTCCATCATGTCGGGCGTCTGTCGCGGTTTGGCCGGCAAACGTTGGGTATCTAGATCACATATCGTGTTGGTTCGCTCTATGTGGGGGTGGGGGTGTGGGGGGTGTGGGGGTTTGGGGGGGGGGGGGGGGGGGTAGGAGAGAACAAGTGAGGCTAATTTATCCTGTCTCTGGTCTTCCCTACTTTCGCTATTTGTGTTTGTATCGACACAGAGAGTGTATGTATCAACACAGAGAGTATGTACCAACACAGAGAGTGTATGTATCAACACAGATAGTGTATGCTGCTGTTTTTATGTTTCTTTGTAGTAGGCGTTTTTTATGATACAATCCATCCAGTATCATTTTTACATATTTTACAATGAAAAAAAAAAAGAAAATAACGCGTTTGTTTACAAAACCTTTGCATTAAAACACAGTAATTTTATAATTTGACATTTGAAGTGAAAGCAACTGTTTAGTGGTGGGTTTTTTTTTTTGTCTATTGTAGCTTAATGCGTCATTTAAAATTTTTTCAAATGCAGAAATAGTCTAGCATTCCGGAAGTTTCCGATACACGTATAAACACTTCCGGTTTGGAAGTTTCGTTTTGACAACACCTCATACCAGTTTTGGGATCCAATTTTCTCTCCGTCGCAAATTTTATCTTTCCATCGTTTTTTAATTTCTTTTCTCTCCATCTCTTCACCCTTCCATGTTCAATTTCCATGACCACCCCCCCCCCCCACCAGTAACTCCCCCTCCCCTCAGAACAGCCAATTCAAGAAAAAAAATGTTTTTAAGTTTGTGTGTCAACGGATCCTGTCGTCAGAATGCCAGTATCTCCCCACCCCCTGTCCCCCTTGCCCTCCCCTCATCAACCCCCTAACCGGAAAATTAACTTCTATTCCCTCTCAGTAGCGACCCACAATTTTACTTTAAATTCAACAGAAACACGACAGGGGACCAATCTTTTTCTACTCTATACTTTCTAATCACTTGTTTTATTTGATAAAACAATAGTTAATTAGTCTTTCAAATCATGTATTTTATTTTAATTGAGAAATAAATTGCGAAAATGTTTTAGAGTTAAAATTTGATTAGCCTAGAGCGTAATTATCGTTTTTTTAAAGTCAAAGTTGAATCGATGACATCACAGTTTACATTTGTTACTTTGTAACACGGCTGCGTACATTGAAATCAATCAGTATTGATTCGACATTTGGTTCAATAATACCCTTGTATACACGCCTATATTTCTTCAACAATCAATGCTTGGTTTCTTTATATTTAGTCCCTCTTTCGCACCTACAAACTAGGTGTCGGAGGGTTAAAACGGAGCCGAGCTTTGTTTGTTTTGGACATGATAGAGGCCCAATTAGGTGTGGGAAGTTGTGAATTTTAGAACGGATCCCGTGAGCTCACACTAAGAGAACAAGTCGGTGTTTTACTACTTCACAGCAAGTGGCGTCACGGGAGAGAGAGCAGCTAGCAGGCAGAGAGTCACACACACCCATAGAGCAGCAGAAGAAGAGTCAATGAACAGTGTATCCAAGATATCCTAACAATACTGCAATATTTTGTCCCCGCAGGCAGGATACCTTAAAGCACACAACTCGAACAAAAAAAAACCTGTCTTTTGACTAGCGATTCCTTAACTGTCACGTAACAAACCTACACTACTTGAAAGATAAAAAACCAACTGTTCATTTTTTTTATACGACACAAACGTGATGCCTTTCAGGAATATAACGGGTAATCCCGAATTAAGTTTCCAGTAAAAAATAAAACAACATAGAACCTTCTAGCTAAAAGTTTTGTTTTTTTTCAAACGGAAAAGTTAAAAAAAAATTATGAAGTCATTCATTATTCACATCGTCTCTTTGTTCGGCTACACATCCATGCCGTCCTTATGAATCGTGAAAGCTGGTTTCAATACATTAGCCGTAAAGCTTGGTTAGACAAGGCTACCGACAATCAACACAGGCGATGTTGTAACAGAAATAGTTGACCAGACAGGGGACTATCAACACAGGCGATGTTGTAACAGAAATAGTTGACCAGACAGGGGACTATCAACACAGGCGATGTTGTAACAGAAATAGTTGGCGAGACAAGGCATCAGGCGATGTTGTAACAGAAACAGTTTAGAAAAGTGAGGGCAGGAAAGTAAATATATCTAGCTTTTGAGTTAAATGTAAAGATATTTACATACATTTCAGATCTTGAACAAATATAAATGTTACTTTTCTTGTTAATCAAACATTTCAAATTCTATTAAATCTTTTGTTTTCTGAGTTGATATTTAAAAAAAAAGGGATATTGTCGCATTTACACACCACAGCACAAAAAGAAACATCTCTTCGGGGGGTGAGGGGCCCGAAGAGAGTCTACCCCCCCCCCCTGGGATTTTTAGTCCCCCCCCCCTACACCCCCGAGAAAAAAGTCTGGAAGAAACCTGACGGTGACCTTGAGCATATGTGCACTAAACATGACTCACACTAAACTACAAAGGTCGCCATCTTCACTGCACCCATCAGACGACACAGTAAGCCGCCCAGTTTGACGTGTCTTATAAATCCCGCCTGTCCCCCCCCCCCCCCCCCCCCCAGTTCTAATTGATATCTAAGCCTCGTCCTGCTATTACTCGCCGTCTTCTATTGCAGTTCCAATCTGCAGCATCCTAAAGTCTTGACCCTGGTCCAGCGGGTAATGGTTCCCAAAGGGCGGACCGGGGAGTTCTATGGTAGCAGAGAGTGGGGGAACGGCTGGATCAATACACTCCGGCCCGACGGAAATGATAATATACTGCGCTGTATAATATTCAGGCGTTAGGTCTAGTTTAGCGACCAAAGCTTTACTATTCAGGTCTTTGGTCTAGTTTAGCGACCAAAGGCTGTACTATTCATTCCTTGGGTCTAGTTTAGCGACATAAGGCTTTACTAATCAGGCGTTTGGTCTAGTTTAGCGACCAAAGCTTTACTATTCATGCCTTAGATCTAGTTTAACGACCAAAGACTATCATATTCAGGCCTTTGGTCTAGTTAAGCGATCAAAAGTTTTACTATTCAGACCTTAGGTCTAGTTTAGCGACCAAAGACTATCAAACTCTAGACCAGAATTTGTCAGTACCAGTATGTCCAATTTTGTCTGATATTGTATCTATGATTTGTAAACCTCAAACTTTAGAATTTTGTTTTCAGTAGCTGATTATTGTGAGAGTAGACTCGACTTTGTATGGCATCGCACACTATTCTTTTTGTATGCTATTTTAGTGTGTATTGCTATGAAGAAACTTGTTCAGTATGACACAGTGTGATTTGGGTTTCTGACCTTTCTTTGGTTCTGTACCTTAACCTATTACACCATCTACTGTCTAGCACTCACCTGTATACACGAATCTTCCTGGCGCCCCCTTACAGAACTGTTTTGATTTATAAGATAAAGTTACTTCCACAACTCCAGGAATATGTCTGGGTGGGGTTTGAACCCGAATCGCGTGGGATGTAATTAACTGAAAAAACAAATAAGTGAGATGTAATTAACTGCAAAAACAAATAAGTGAGATGTAATCAACTGCAAAATATATAAGTACAAAAAGATTGTAATATGGATAATAAAAACACATAAACCCCTTTGGTTTTGAAGAATATTTTTCCCCTCTATATAAGGCATACAACCCTTATTTATTTAATACATTAGTCCTAATAAATCAAGCGAGGTGTTGAGTCTGTGAGGGGTGTGAGGGGAGGTGGGGGAGCTTTAATGTCGTTTACCGACAACCACTGGGAGATCGATACGGCCAGATGCTGGCACCAGGGTGGGGGAGGGGTGGGGGAGGGGCGGGGGAGGGGTGGCAAGGCATTAAATTTATTACGTGTCCTAGTTTCTTTTGGCTGAGTTTCGTTAACTGTCGTGTTTGATTCATGGGCTCAACTCGCCCAATCGCATGTCGTCAAGGGGAGCAACTGGCCGAGTTCTGGTAGCAATGGAATTTCATTGTTTTAGTTTTAATGAGGTGGTGGGTTGGGCTTCAGCAGTAGATGCCGCGTTAGTCGTCTAAAAACTGTTCCCGGTTAAATAACTATAACCATCAGTTCAAAAAAAAACTGTAACTCTTTAATCCAAATGTCTATAACTCCAAAACAAAAAAGTATAACAGTTTATACGTCTTACACCATAAGGAAAAAAAATTGCAGCAAATTTTTCAAAACCCCCATAAACGAACTCAAATTATATTTCGGTTGTGTTTCCTTTTTTTTTTTACTGATATTAATACTAAAATAGTTTTAAATTGATAATTGACTTTTATGGATGTATGAAACAAAACTTATAAATTTTAAGGTTTGTAATTCTAATTGTTATACTTTTTAAAATTAAAACCGATTTGAACCATTTTTGTTTAATAAAATATATGGATTCTGGGCTAATTACTAACTACTTAGGTAACATTTTTAAAAGTAATAGGGCTGGTAAGTAGGTCACCAACCAGTCATATGGCTCATTCAGGTTTTATTGAGCCGTAGAACTGGTTGATGACCTACTTACCAGCCCTATTCCAGTACCTGCAATTAACGACTATTTAAAAGGTGAGTACTCACCTCACTCCACACCAGCATGGTGCCAAACACAACCTGCAGACCATCAAAGAAGTTGTCGCCGATGAGGATGACCGTTGTCCCGCCTGTAGTCCAGCCCTCGCTCGGACAGATGGCCTTGATGCAGGGGGTGGCTGAGAGGATACCCGGATAAACAAGGCGACAGTTGTAGAACGATTTTATACACATGGGGGGGGGTCGGGGTGGAGGGGGGTCGGGGTAGGAAGGGGGGGGGGGTCAAGATATAAATAAATCATGGCACACTTGATACAAGCTTGGTACACATTTTGTAAACACTGGTTACACACTTGGTACACACTTGGTACACACTTGTTACACACTAGCTACACACTTGGTACACACTTGTTACACACTAGCTACACACTTGGTACACACTTGTTACACACTAGCTACACACTTGGTACACACTTGTTACACACTAGCTACACACTTGGTACACACTAGCTACACACTTGGTACACACTTGGTACACACTAGCTACACACCTAGTACACACTAGATACACACTTGGTACACACTAGCTACACACTAGCTACACACTTGGTACACACGAGCTACACACTTGGTACACACTAGCTACACACTTGGTACACACTAGCTACACACTTGGTACACACTTGGTACACACTAGCTACACACTTGGTACACACTTGGTACACACTAGCTACACACTTGGTACACACTAGATACACACTTGGTACACACTAGCTACACACTTGGTACACACTTGGTACACACTTGGTACACACCTGGTACACATTAGTTACACACTAGCTACACACTTGGTACACACTAGCTACACACTTGGTACACACTAGCTACACACTTGGTACACACTAGCTACACACTTGGTACACACTAGCTACACACTTGGTACACACTTGGTACACACTAGCTACACACCTAGTACACACTAGATACACACTTATTACACACTAGCTACACACTTAGTACACACTAGTTACACACTTGGCACACACTAGCTACACACTTGTTATACACTAGCTACACTAAACAGATTCTTTTACACTCTTGCACTTTTGGTACACACTTTCTCTTTCTGTCATCAATGGCATATTTTTTTTTATTGATTCTAACTCCTAAATTTTGGGGGGAAAAATTCTAATTGGAATTCGAAAGGCTAATTAGGTTATATAAAGCCTCGTACATACAGTAAATCAAATCTGTGATAAAATCATTCCCAACATCCAAAGCATTTCAAATTTCATCTCAATATCCCTCTCAGGAAACATTCTAATTTAATTATACATTCATTCTAACAATGTTATACGCAGCATTTATATCATGTATATCTCGAATATAAAGTTATTAATATTCTTACACCAGTATAAAAAAATAAGCGAACATGTTTTATTTTTTAGTCTGAAAAATATTTCATTTTGAGAAAATGCAAGAAATGTTTCTTTTATATGCCTACATTTTTTTAACATCCGTCTGTATATACATAATTTTTTTTTTTTACATAGACATACATTTAGATTAGAATGTACACTTCAATAAATCACCGAATATTCGAAGAATTTTCAATAAAACTTCAGCGATATTATTTGTGCTGTGAGATTTTTTTCCCCACTACTTTTATAGCTTTAACCGTACGCTGCACTATACCCGTAATGCAAATATTGCTCGGTGCAGTAATAATAGATGAACCTAGAATCCGGTTATAGAATAAAAACAATGCGCTCCGGAAGTAATAGAAGCGGACTGAGCTGGAATATTTTAAATCAAAGCCATGAAAATTAGGTCAATCGGTGATGTAAAAAGCAGAAGGGATAATGGCCTAAAAATGATAGAATATTTAGTCTATTTTAATTGAACATTAAGGTATTGAACGTATGTTCAACGAACTCGCATTTACATTTTTTTAGGATAAGATATTTGCTAACAGCAAAGGTTTTTGACTGCTAACGTTGATGCCAGATAAAATGACCAGACAAAAAGCCAAATAATTTCTTGTTTACGAAGCTCTGTTTCATTGAATCTATTATGTTTTCCTATCAAGAAAAGACGCTGATGTCTAATTGACAAAAATCACAAACTCGTTTATACATAGAATATTGATAATCCCATCTTAAACTTTTCTTGACATTAAACTTCCACTCTATTAATTCATCAGGTTTTTTGTGTTACGCCACAACTGACTGTCGTTAAGCGTCTAATTGATCGAACATTCATGCGTTGCCTTACATCAAAACCCAAAAAAACAATTGACATAAAAGATCGATTATTTTCTACCATGGATTTATAATTAACCTACTAATTATTATTTCAGCAACTAAACACAATACTTTTTCTTTACATTTCTTAGGATTCTGTGGCTTTTTCGTTGAAATGTTTTAAGTATTTTCCGTCTCAATGGCTTGCACACATTTAAGTATAGCTGTATCCGGGATGTTCTTGGCATATACCCCTCACCATCTCCATCTATCCATACACCCACATACACCCACATACACCCACATACACTTACATACACTCACATACACCCCCTCCCCCGCACACCCCGCCATCTCATGACTAAGCTATGAACCTGCCTGACACCCACGCATACAACCGCACGTAACCTCACGGCTGGAGGAACATCAAACATGCGTGTCGTATACTTGCCCCTGTCCCACGCGCCTCTACCAATAATTACTCCACGAACAGCCACCCGAGACTTTCAAAAACCAGTTTCTGAGACTCAATTTTCTTGGGCCCAGATACCAGACACGGCGGCAATGTTTGCTGACCCCTTCCCCCACCCCCACCAACCAGGCACCAACTTCTAAGACTCATCTCCTTCAGTGGGGTCCAGACGTCTAGCACGGCGGCCATGTTTGCTGACCCCCACCCCCACCCCACCCCCACATGTGACCAGGTACCAACTTCTAAGACTCACCTCCTTCAGTGGGGTCCAGACGTCTAGCACGGCGGCCATGTTTGCTGACCCCCCCCCCCCTCCCCCCACCCCACCCCCACATGTGACCAGGTACCAACTTCTAAGACTCACCTCCTTCAGAGGGGTCCAGACTTCTAGCACGGCGGCCATGTTTGTTGACCCCCCACCCCCACCCAACCCCCACCAACCAGGCACCAACATCTAAGACTCACCTCCTTCAGTGGGGTCCAGGCGGCCATGTTTGCTGACCCCCCCCCCCACCCTACCCCACCCCACCCCCACATGTGACCAGGTACCAACTTCTAAGACTCACCTCCTTCAGTGGGATCCAGGCGCCTAGCACGGCGGCCATGTTTGGAGTTGTTGTGTACAAACATGTTGTCAGATACAGCGAGCAAGGGGCCGTCTATGGCTGTGGACGTGGAGATGGCGACCTGCGGAGATCAAATGATCAATTGTGTGACGCAAATAGAAAGGGATCAATCACTTACACACTTTCTCTAAGTTAACTGTGGTGATTAAAATATTATTTTGGCCCTTTTAATGGGGAAAATGAATGCGTAAAGAGGTATATAGAATAATTAAGATATAGAATTAATTGTTAACAGAAAAAAAGAGTATAATCCTACAAAGAAGAATCGACCAATGGTCGACAAAAGAATCGAGAAGTGGAATCGAAAAAAAATTAAAACAAGTATTATTGTCCAAAAAAAGATTTGAGATGAAGCATCGTGTCCAGGATATGTCAGGTAGCAACATAGACGGAAGTAGAAAGAATTGAAATCTACCAACACCGGCAGTCATCACGTGGTCAGCATAAGGCAGGTAGCACACAGTAAAACGTTATTTTACAGGTAAAACAACTAACCTGAAACCGCCTCATGTCCCTGGGATTGCCAGCATTCTTCAGACAGTTCTGGTTGCATTTCATGAAAAATTTGAGAAAAAATCTGGGGGGAAAAGTATTTTTTATTGTTTAGTGGCACTGCTAAAAACTTGTGCTGGTGATGTAGGCTATATATATCGAGTTTGTTAGGCCATAACTACCAACATTTGTTGCGGGGGAAAATAGGGTTCATTATCAGCATGGAAGAGTAAGTATTTTAATAAAAAAAAGCACATTGGCCTTTAGTCTTCAAAGTAAGGTAATTTATTTTTAAAGAGGTGAAAATAATATTTTCAAAAAAGTATTGCTTTAAAAAAAATAGTTTATCACGCATATCATGGCGAACAGGGTTTTTGTAACTTGATTATTTTAACACCAATGGTTAATAACGACGCCTTTATATTTAATATAGCATTCTACGTCATAAAGACAATTACATATTATGTACAAATAGAAAATTAACAATAAGTACGTCAAAAAAAAAGAATACATGATATATTGTTGATATTTGTTATTTTGTGAATTAATACATGTAATGTTAATAAGTGGTTTTATGTTGTATTTAGATCACATCGCACACATGTTGTAAATACTACATCATAATGGTGATTGTGACTCCTTTATCTTGTTATCCATCATGACTCAATCTAATTGACTTATTTTCCCGTTCCTATTTTAAGACTTCCATCCTATTTACTCACACAAATCTCACGATGGATTATAAAGCTTTTATCAATAAAAAAAATTTCTTTAAAAAAAAAACCAGACAAAAATAAGGTTTTTCCTCCTCTGTTCTTATAACTTGGCAAAATCCTAACTATCCCAACCTCTAGCTTAATCCTGTAACCATAGCCTAGGCCCCGGGCAGCAAGCGCCATTTATGAAAAGCCGTGAATTATTGAGTAGGTTTTTCCTGTAAATTATAAATGAAGTCAGGGAGTTTTACGTTCTCGTCCCGCCTGCTATAGAGAAAGGGATATTGGCTGGAGCTAGGCTTGTTTTAGAGGTCACGATTTCATTGTGTGCCTGCTCAACGTAACGTGGGGCACTCACTCATTTCTGACTGATGCTGTTCGCAGTTTGCTCCCTTTGTGTGTTGATCAGTATATATATATATATATATATATATATATATATATATATATATATATATATATATTTATATATATATAAGACTAGTACAGACACATTATTAGTGTATATACATATATTTCCCTCACACACACGTACTTAAATAGACATAGAGAGAACGTGAAGCAATGTGTTTAGCAATGGTAGCTAAAGTTGAGTACCGAAAGAGGATGATCAAACAGTAGTTAACCAGTATTTGAATAGGGTTTGAGCTAATGGATTATTTCTGACGTGCTCGCGGAGTACTATCCTGCCTGATGAAGTAGTCCTTTGGTATCCTGGCGTATGAATACGGTCTTTGTGTGTTGGTGGCAGCTAGGCACGTATGGTGGCGCTGTTAGTTGGGGAGGTCCTAGCTCTATCATTTAAAGATTTCAAATTATTTTAGACTAATGGACTTTATGAAAAATTTTACATTTGAAATACGGGCTATTTTAGTCAGCGTATCGGAGTTATAGCGTTGGCGTTGATGAAAAATACTGTTCAAAAAATGAATATTGTATAGTTTCTTATCAACTGTTCTGAAATTTGTGTAAACTCATATATGAGAATATGAGTACATAGTTTCCAGCCTTGACCTCGGCTTGTATGTAAATCCCACCACCGCCCCCATCCTTCTCTAAAACACAACCAACCAAACGTGCTGTGTGACGTCACAGTAAACCTTGTCTTACATTCATTACTCGCCCTCCCGTATTGATCACCCCGTGCAACTCGTCAACGCTTACTCGCCTCAGTCACGTGGTTGGTCTGTGCGATTCACCGTCAATTAATTCCTCGCATTGTTCTCTCCCTTGCCATTAAGAATGATGAGTCTCTCGTAGGACTCCGTCTTCATTTACACCCGTCTATCCCCTGCCCCACTGATGTAGCGGCGTTTCCCCTCTCGGCCCGTCGTGGTACAGGTTGGGTCACTTTAACATGCGTCTGTCATTACAGCTGTCGCACGTGCGGTCCATTATTGTCGTAGTGGTCGTCTGTTCCACGGCACATAGTAGCGATGAGCACTTAAGTGTTGAAGGTATATATATATATATATTTATATACATTAGCCTATTTAATGCAGCTATTTGAGTATATGAAATAACTACTTGATTAGGTTTGTGTAATTATATCATAATATGCACAAGCTCAATTAGTTCTGGATGAAATAAAAACATAATTTAATCAGGGGAGGAAAAAAATAATTATTTTATATCTCACATGAACAATCCGATGGGGGGGGGGGGGGGGGGGGGCTCATAAAATTAGGAAAAGCTGACGCCATATTGTCCAAACGATTGCCATTGAATAAAATAAGATGAATGTTTTTAATCGTCTGCGGCCAACAATTCCCACCCCGGGCCGTAGTTTTATGGGGTAACTTTTAGCGTCAGGCCGTATTGGCACTTGGTGGAGGGGGAGGTGGGGAGATGAGCCAGTGCCAAGCAGTTTATCAATAGAAATGGCCGGCTCCCTCCTCGCCCCCCTACGGCTTCACACTTGCCGAATTAGCAAACCCATATCATTTTCTCGGTCCCTGTTGCGTGTCCATCTTGCGGGATCTCTCATCAAACAATGACCAACGCGTAACGTCCAATGTTGGCCGAGCTCACGTGATACTCACCCCGGTCCCCGCACGCTTGGAGCGGCCTGCCCCCCCCCCCCCTCAACATCAACGGTAATCTAACCATCTCCTCCCGCCTTTGTTTTGACAGCCGCACACTGCCACCTATTGGGACTTATCTTGTTCAAACCAGGGGAAATTACTCTCTAAGGAGGGGACGCAACTCTATTTCTCTCAGCGTGACGGCGCGTCCGGCCACCTTGACCCTTATATCGTTTACTGTCAGACAACCGAGTGCACCGTTCAAAGGCAGGCGCCCCCCTCTAGGTACAGACCTATTAGCCCATATTCCCCTCACCAAAACACTGACGTTAGACCTTACCCCATGACCGAATACACAGCAGGATACAAGGGCAATGGCTGAATTACTGCCCCACAATGCAATACTTTTGCGATATTTCACGTCAGTTTTGGTACTCTTTATTCTCACACCAAGATGGGACTCCCATTTCCCAGAACGTTTCATCCAAATGTGTCTTCTAGTCATTTGTAATCTAATGAATTTATAGTCTCTAAACAAGATGCCCAGTTTGATAGTCTGAGGCTAACGATGCTGCACGCAAAGTATTTAATGTGAGCCATTTCATTATAACTATTGACATTAAAGACGAGTGGTTGATTATCTTTAGGAGCGTTTATTTTACTTACTATATAATTTTGTATTATATATATATGTGTGTAATATACGCCTATATAATATTATATATATATATATATATGTTTTATATATATATATATATATATATATATGTATGTATGTATGTATACATATATAGTATACATATACAGTATATATACATATATATAGGCCCCTATATATATATATATATATATATATATATATATATATATATATATATATATATATATATGTATATATATATATATATATATATATATATATATATATGTATATATATATATATATATATATATATATATATATATATATATATATATATATATATATATATATATATATATATATATATATATATATATATATAGGCGATCGAATATAGGATGTATTATAAATGTATCCCAAACGTCTGCTAGAGCTATGAATCCATTTTTCTAATTGCTAGCTCAAGTAAAACAAACCCACGTCAGACTCCTGTCTCCCTCCCCCCCCCCTATCCCCTGCCCCACGCATCGCCACCTAGCTACAAAGTGCTCTATGACAGATTGGCAACTCGGGGAGCGAGCAGCCCCGAGGCGTACGTTCTGCTTCACGTGCATTCGCTCACTCGTTACCGGTCGTCAAGAGGGCAGGGGGTGGGAAAGTTTTTTTTTCCCTCCATCGATGAACATCCGTTCTGAGGAAAAACGCACTTCATTAAAACTCGCTTATTCCCTCCTTATTGCCTCACCCCCAGTAATTCGGTGACGACGCCGACTCAGCTAACTTCAAATTTCTTTCCCCGTGTTTTCCCAACGCTGTTTATTTTGTCATTTTTAGCTTGTTTTTCGTTCGTTAATTGTCGTCGAAATTGTTTGTTTTTGCGCGTTTGATAGCGCCGCAACGCGTATCCCGCTCAGTAATAGAAAACTAATTTACTCTAATAGTCCGATCATTTAGATGGTCTAATTATCTTAACCTGGGGGTTCGGGACTGCTCTTTAAAATAATTTAATGCTCATATTTTAATTATTCAAGTATAATTGAAACATGGAGTTGATGCCAATAAATCTAAAAATAAATATTAAAGTAGAGACACTCGTGAATGGTGTGGGTGTCTAAAACATCAGGCAAATTCGCACTTTATAACGCGATAATAAAGGATCTAATTTATAAATTAATGTAAATGCTATTTAAACCTTTTTCATTATCATATGTGTTTCATTTAAATCTGAGCCTGAATTTGTTTTTGAGGCAGGTTTTCAAAGTGAACCTTTCAAGTTCTCTTCAACACAGAAAGTTAATTTTTTTTTAAAGTTTAAAAAAAAAAGAACTGATTAAAAAAACTATCTTGAGAATTTATTTGTTTTGACTTTCCCATGAGAAAATAAAATTTTAACAACTTTGACAAGGGCGGGGATGGGATTCCAATTATCCCAGATCTCTTCATACAGATCCTCTTGGCCGGGCCGGCGGGCAGACGGCTGTGAACACGGCTCTCTCCACAGTGTACCCAGACATCGTCATGCCTTGGTGCTTCACTTACCCCCCTCACACCCTCATTTCCACCCTACACCCACCCACCCCACTCATACACTCCCACCCTACCACTTTACTCAACCAAACTTTAAAAAAAAAAAAAACTCGATTCTTCTCTGTGAGGTTCGCTCTAGCACCGCTCTTTAAAGCACCTGTTGTGGAAGCTCTGG